TATTCCACCATCAGGACAGATGAAGACTGAATGTGAGAGGCCCCCCTGAAGTGTAACAACTGCAATAGGGCAGCTACGAGGTGAGACGTGAAACACCAGTGTGATCCCTGAATTTTAAAGTTATGCTTTCAAGACTCTATCAGCATGTGATGGGTTAATTTTCATATCAAGCATCTCACAAAGATTGTAAGCCACATAAACCCACTTTAATTTAATGTTTGTGAAAACATTTAAGTCTGAGAGCTAAAATTGTTGTGTTACAGGTAATCAAAAAGTACTTCAAAAAAATCTATACAACAGTGTGTTCTATTTTCTTAATACTGTTTCAACAATTTCTGCCAAATGCTGCTAAAGAAAACCTCTCTCAATTAAATCAGCGTGACACAGGAATAACATCAATAAATGCAATAAACCAACGCCCATCTACTTTGTGAGAATGAGGTCCTGAGAATGAATAAAAACTAATCTTCAAAGCAAAAGGATTTTATTTTGGGGGGTGGGGGGTGGAGGGGGAGAAGCTCATTACAAAAGCACAGAAATTATGGAAACAAAGATGTTCTTGCAAGACTTAATACAGAACTGCAACTCTACAGCCATCATTGATGGCCATCAGCCTGTCCATCTGTAACTCCGGAGATCCCTCGCCTATCTTCTTTCTTAAATTTCATATTTAATTTCCCTTATTGTGGACTGCAGTCAATACCCTCAAACTAGACTGGATGTGGCAACTCCCTACCATCCTCTGAGTCTAAATGCAGCAAAGCTAATGGTGCTCACATGAGTTGCTCAACTGGAATCTGGAATAGAGACATGTTTACTCAACAGGGTTAGCATGACCTCCCAGCAATACCCTGCAAGTACAGCAGGCATTTTCCACTAAGGCTTCTACAGCGAGACTACAGAAATGAACTAGTTAAAAGCTCTACAAAACAATGCATACCTCCAAAAGGAAACTCAATCTGATTTAATAAGAAATTATATCTAACTTTTCCCCATGGATTCCCCTACATGAGAAAACACCTAGGAAAGTAAATGTGCAACAGTAGGCCATGTTGAATTTTCAGTAAATTGTGCCATCGCCACTATGGGCTGGAAGTTAATTTCCTGAAATACCATTCTGTTTTAACAGCACGTTAATTTATCTGCTTAATATTTTACAATGGACTAAGTATGGAAGTTGATGGTGGTCTCAATTTGCTGTTTCATTTTGTTTTCAATTACCACATCATCAGGAGATCTGGCATTTATCCACTGAAATGTGCCTTTCATCAATAAAACATTCTTCCATCAGTAAGAAATCTGTAACAATTTAAGCCTCTTCAATATCCTAAATCCCAGCTAGGCAAAATACATTAACACATAGTGACATTCAGAGCATAAGCACTGGCACTGAAATTAGGTACTTTTACTAAAATACCTTGCTGAATTGGAAGGCCAGCAATGAATATCCTTTATGATAAATGAAAACAATCTTCCCAAACAGTTTCTTCTGTTCTTTTACCAGACTTGTTTCAACTAAAGACAAATGCAGAATTGAAGTAGTCGTCTTCTCCTTTTTTTGACCTTACCATTCATAACCTTATTCTAAGCAGCAGCATTGTATGTGTGGCTGTACACAAAGAACCTCGTTAAAAAGGCTGTCTTATGTGCATATTCCTCTGGAAGCTTAACTTTTGCCATTTTAGAAGTTTGTATTAATGACTGCATTCCTTTACCAAGCACTAGTGGTTTTTTATTTCAGTTAGAAGCACACATTTTTTCCTTCTTGTTTTTAAAAATGGAGAAAGCTACTTTATTTACAAATGTCTGATTTTGGTTAGTGTCTAAAAACTAGTGGCTGAAATGTTTGTTTTCATTCTGCTATTTATTTTCACTTCTTCACATTTGTCTTTTTAATTAACCATGCTCTAACACATTAAATCTAACACATTTCTGAGAATTAGAACTGTGAACTTTATAGGGTTGTTATTCTTTTGTTTTTATACTGCTACAATAATAAATAATTACTAGTACCATAAAGTTTAAGATGAATCCCAAAATCAGATTCTGGTTCTCCTTTCTTTAAATAGCTTAGGATGTACCAAGTCTCAAATGTTCTTGTGGAATAATCAGTTTAGAAATCAAAAGGTAACTTCTGTTCATTAGTATAATATTTTTCAAAATACCAGAGATGAAGTACTGAAGAGAATATTGGAAATCATGTGTAAATGCCCAAGGAAAACAAGTAGACTTCTAGCAGTGTTCAGAAAAATAAATTTACAGTCAAGTTTGAATAGAATTAGTGGCCATGTTGGCTACTAACTATAATTGAAATGTGCTTTGGCATTAGGCTGATTTAGGATACCTGTCTACCATTGTAAAATTTTAATGTATGTTTATGCTATAAATACACATTACTGATGCCTTTATTTCTGCCTACAGGTAAGCAAAACATCGGCTAACATGAGAGAAATTTTACATGTGATACAGAGCCAACAACAAAGGCTGACACTAAACACAGTAATTATACATTTGGATAAAGCATCATAACACCACAAATACTATTCACTGTTTTTACTTATGTTATTTTTTATTACTTACAATTCCTTTCTTCTTCCTTAAAGTAAAAAATATGTGTTCATATAAACTTGACATGTCCCTTGCACTACGTGTCTCAATTGTCACAGGTCCCTCAGAATCAATACATTATAACCTCTGCAATGCTAATTCACCAGGACACTGGTGCAAGGTATGTTTAGCCGATTACAGCCCCTCGAGGCTCACAGAGGGCATCACCATCATACAAAACCAGGGCATGATGCCCGACTCCCTGACACGATACCTAGACAATGGTCATTTTATTCTGTTTCTCTACATCAAAGACATCTGCAGTTCTGCTGGGTCTGTTTGGCCGCTTTGTGCAGACCACAGCTCTATACTACTGATAAATTTGGTACAGCAAACAGGTAAGAACACATAAAAAACATATTTTTGCCTTTCCACAGTGCAATACTTTATTGCAGTATATCACACAGTAGCCAAATGAACTCTCTGTGGTTATTGCCCACCTAATGTTGTAAAAATATTACTGTGACATTTCATCTGGTCGACCATCTTAAAGGTTAATTCTGTTTCCTATCTGAGATTTTTCTCTAGGTGAGGCATTCCATGCACTTTCTATTTACTGATTCCAAACAACCCCCAAACTGTTTCATTGCTCACTCTCACTGTTAAGAACATATTGACTGGCTGCCTGCTCTGCTGTTTAATTCATTTATGCTGAGAGTCAGGCATGAAGACAGAATTTTAAATGTGACATTTGCAGGCTGTTGGGTCATTTGAAGCTCTGACAACACCAGGGAGTTCCTGACATACAAACTGGTCCTGATTTCCAATCTTCCATGTTCTAAACACAGCAGAGCTTCTTCCTGGAGCTGCAGATTTGAGCCAAAAGTTTTAAAATCCCTTGTGTTTACATCTTGCAGAAAAGACTTGTACACTTTAAAGTTTTAAAACAAAGGTTATGTTTCCTTTAAGGTAAAACCAGCACTGCCTGCAGCGTGCGACTCAGCTGCTTAAAAACACTGATTGGCAAAGGTATTCGGAAAGATCTACAATAATAATTGATACTAATAAGATTTTGTAAGCAACTTTGACATTTAGTGGGCTTTTATTGGTTCCTGTGGATCTGTAAGCATTGAAACCACAGCTTTATCTAACATTGCCTATCCGGCTTTTTGCTACCCTGACCAACATCAAGTCCCTGTTTTCAGGTTGGAAATTTTCCTTATCTCAAGGCAGTGAATGGACTGTACCATTTTGTCTCCCATGATGAACTGTCCTTATCTTCCCCAACTTTCAGGTCAATTTTTCAGAGTATACCCAACTACCTGAAAGATTCCATACTGCCAAGGTGCCATTAGCAAAACAGTAATCTGACCTATTCAGTCCTGACTTGGGAAAACTATAGTTATCTATGTCTGAAACAGGACTCGCATCTACCAAGTTGAAAAATATTTTCTTTTTGGTGAAAATTCCAAATGACTGCAATAGTCTTTAAAGCATCACCAAGAAGGGACATACTAAGTCTCACTACTCATGTTTTACAGTATACGGCAAATTTTACGTATGTTGTTTTGCCTTGGGTGTTTCCACAAAACAGGCAGAGCCCACCGTGGCTAATAGTGAAGGAGAAGACATGTGAATGCAGGTTGGTCATCTAATCTACCAGTAGGACTGATTGAGAATCAGACCTTGAACTTTGAGAAAAGAGCAAGAAGGGAGTACAGAATCTTCTGCACAGAAAAGATCTCTTCCTCCTCCTTGCCATAATTCGGGAGGGAAGGGGGAAGGTAGAAAAACTTGCTACGGTAAAAACTGCAGTCTTCTATTCAATCCCAGTTCAGATGTCCACATCACCGCTCATGTGTTTACCTAAATCAATGGGCGAGTGTTGATTTTAAATAAAGACAGTTAGAAGGCACAATCTAGGCAAAATCTCAATCTCTGTTTTTTTTATTGTGCAAAACAAAAAGCAAACAAAAACCCTGTGCAAAGCAAAAAGTACGATAGCACTGCCATAGTTAGAAATAGAAATAGTGTCATTTCAGAACTGCATTAGGAGGGGAGGTTGTTTTGCCTACTCAACTTGTCATGACAATTATTCCACAATAATGATTCTATACTTTGGCTGCTTTTTCAGGAAGGAGAATATGATTTAGGTCAAGATGCAAATTTGAAGAAATTAATTGATTATTTTGTTTTGGTTTATATCAGCAGAGACACACAACAATTTTAACAGCAACCTCTGAAGCATCAACTGTGTCATACAGAAAACATCTTTTCATTGCCATGTTCAGAATAAGATTTTTATAATTCAATAGTTGTCTTCTGAACACGAGTATGTAGTTTATACATACTTCCAGCACGAGGACATTGATTCTGTGTGACCTAGAAAAGCAGTTTAAGTATTGCTGGTGTTGTTTATTCTCAAAGAAAATATTTAAAATAAAAAGACATACCTGGTGTATTATCTGAGCTACAGGAAATTGTTCAGCATATTTTAGTGGTTCTGTTGCCAACTCATCCTTTGGAAGCCTGGAAAGAAATGAAGTTAACACTTATCAAAGTTACTGCAATGTTTACCAAGTTGAATTACTGAAACTTCAGAGTTTCAGGTACATTACTTTTAAAAAGTATGGTATCTGGGAGATTATTTTGTTTAAGATGAAGCAAAAGTGTATTTAAGAACTTAACTGAATATATTTCTTACAAATTTGAGCAAAAGAATTAATGTATAGTAAACAGAAATGTGTGTAACTTTGTGGACTTTTCCCCTAACCAAAGCACATAAAACACAAATTTAGCAGCAGAAACCTAAGAAAACCTTTAAATTTAGTTTTAGGCAAAGTGCTGGTGAAAGCTGGATTGCAATCTCCACAGAAAAAAAGTCTTATGCATTTACAGAGCAGATTCAGCACTGTTAACAATACAAGCGTTGTCACTCAATCCTGCCAACATAATTCAGGTATGACAATCTCAAAAGGCATGAGGGATTACCCACTGTTTCCCATTTTTGCTGCAAGCACATATCAGTGTTCAGCTGTGGTAGAGTTCAACACCATAAACATTTGTGTGTTTGCCAGCACAGTAGTGTGTAGTACTGGTTTCAAATAAGCCAAAGAACTAGTGTGAACAAGGAGAGTATAGCACTTCACAAAGAAAATGCATCGTATCCCTTTAAACTTCAAATAAACTGTAGTTGCAACTCAAAATTCAGAATCCATAAGCAGTCTCTTAAAGGAATATTTAAATGATAGTAAACTAATATGAAAGCATGTTTTAAACCCTTTAACCATACTGCTTTCTTCTACTGGAACTGCACAGCATGTGCTAGCTACATTTTCAAAGTATCACTCAAGGTTTTCATCAGTCACTCCTCAATCTTTCTGAAAAGTTCTGAATTTAGGAATTTGAGTAATATGACAAGAAAAGAAAGGGAAAAAAAAGATCCCTATGAAAACAAGGACTTTCTATAAAGTCTAAGCAGAATTACTTTCAGACAAAAACTGTGACAAAGACATTATTTTCCAGGTTTAAATTACTATGTTATACCCATTCTAGTCAAAAATGATACATGCTTGCTGGGTTAATTTATCTGCAGACCAGCTACCAGGTAAGAGCCAGAAACTACAGGCTTAGACTCTGCACTGGGAGTCAACAGACCATGACAAAAGAGAGCACAACAAATGCACATCTCTTCCCTTTTCCATTTCTGAATTTATGTTGTGGTTTGGAAAGCTTTTAAGCTCCAAATAAGAGCCTGAATACCCAGAAATCTGTAATGAACAGAGTATAAGGAAGTATGAAAGTCTTAGTGTGTAAGAAATTTAAAAGCAGAGAACAAAAGAAACATAGCGACAGTCTGTCTAGAACTGTTTAATGCGTTTTAGAAAAATTCAGTAAGCAAGCTCTGAACTATTGAAGCTGGTCTACTGAAACAGCTCATTTATTAACACGGTTTTTAGAGGTTTTGGACTATTCTAGCAATGATGGATTTGTACTCACAACATGAGATATACTGCTGGTATAGTTCAAGGCAACCATCAGAGCTTAGAGTGGGCTCAAGAGCTCCACTGTGGTGTGCGGAAGGAACCTTTCCACTCATTTTCTTTCGTCTTTATCATTTGCAGAGTCCCGACTGGCAAAAATACCACTGTCTCCTTAGCTACCCAGGGTCAGTGTGAATTTGAGATCACCTGTTCTACTGGGAGCCTGTTCGCTCACACATCACCCTGATTTATGGATACCAGCTACATAAACCCATTTCTTAGCCACAGTTCTAAATATGAAACCACTGTACGCAGAACAAAATATTCCTCAATATTTTGAACACTTATCTCTACAGTCTTTACAGGGACACTGTAAATCTAAAAAAAAAACCCCACAGTATCTCAAATCCCAAAATTAAATACTTGAAGCTGCACGTAACAGCTACAATTACTATAAACTGAATGTTAGAAGGAAAAAAAGCAGCTTATCTGTTCTATCAAGGACTTTGTACATTTGGCAATGTCTTCTGTCTAGACAGAGTCAGCATTCCTTTGCATAGTCAAACACCCTCCTTGTCAACTGCAGAAAAAACGACCTTTCTTCAAATGTCAAAAGATTAAAGAAGATAGAGAAAAATTATCAAGGTAATTTTGAGCTTTAGGAAGCTTTACTAAAAAAATAGGAAGTGCAGAATAGTATAAACATGCATTTTAAAGTACTTAGATTTAAACTGAAATTAGGCTGATAGAAGCCTTTCAACACCAAGAAAGACTAGTTTAGTTTTTTCTAGTTTACTTTCTGAAAAAAAAATAAATTGAAGTACACTACATTTTATATACATAAATTATAAGATACAGATTAGATAGGTGCACGTTTTAATATCTATACATACATGTGTCTACATATACATACCCGCACTATGATATGTATATATGCACACACACACGGGTATTTTGGAAGAAAAGTTTAGAACTGTTCTCTCAAAATTTTTGCTTAAATGCCATGAACTTCTTGTACATGTACTCAGTCATGTACTAGCTGTCACATCTACAAAAGACAGTTTTGAATCTTCTCTCCTGCAGATAAGCCTCCTCAACTGGATGAGCACGTATCTCAATCCTTAATACTAAACTGCATAAAGCACGGAAGCTCAAAACTCTTGACAAAAAAATCTGCATGAAATATTGCCCAACTATATCCTCTACCTGGAGCAAGTCATTAAATTGAGCTAGCAGGTATGACAAAGCAGTGCATCAATAAACTTTGAGCATCTGAGGCTACTAAATAAAGTGCAAGAATAACTCATAGTAAATGATCTTTGCAAATTTGGCAATAATAGTGTAGTCTTCATTATTGTGATACTGCAGTGCTACGATCAAAAGCCACTGCATGGCATTTTATCAAGTGAAAGAACACGCCACCTCCTCCTAATACCACACACATTACTGACCATGACTGATTTTTTTTCTTTTTGCCTAAATTCATAAGCCTATCTACGGCTTCACACAGGTTTTCCTGAACACTTTGTTCCCAGCTCTTTTATCTTCTTTGATCAACTATCAGAATATTTCAACACATATTTTTCTAGGGTTATTCTCATCCACTTCTACACATTGGAAAATTAAAAGCATCTAATACTAGTGACATTCTTTTTAGCTAAAAAAAGGGATTTATCCCTAGGAGTTATGTTGTATTTTAAGCAAATAGAAGTAAAGATTTTCTGAGAAAAAACACATTTTTTTGCTTGATTTATCTTTTTAATTTTTCTATCAAGTGATGATACCTGTGATACAAATTGAACTTTCTGACAGAGCTACCTTCCAGGTCTCAGTTCTCAAGTACTTGTATACAGTCAGTTTGGAAAATGCTTCAAAGTGCTTCAAAGTGTCCAGCATGCAAAGTTCTACCAGTATAACCATATCAGTTAGCAGTATCACTTTCAGTATTTAACAGACATAAGCGATATAAACTCCTTTGAAGAGAATTATATTACTATGAAGGTTCCACAGATCTCATTTCCATTTCTCACAGCAAGCACCAGTTTACTGGCCTAAACATTTGTATAACAGGTATAAGGCTGCTTCCTCTAAATTTCTTTTTGCTTCTTTTACTTTACCAGCAAAACCTGTTGTGCAGTCATTCTTTCTAACAATGGTGAAAACTGGATGATGCAACAAGAAATTGCTATCCTATAAGCAGCACAGAGGGTGAACCACTGCGTACTAAAGGCTTCTATGAAATAGTATCCATTATGAAAGCTCCAGGAACAGGCGTAAAGTCAAGACTTGTCTGTCCTGAGAGAAGGCCAGAAACAGCTACTGAAGCCTGAAATCCCCTGCAAGTGGGCACAGAGGCTATATTTTAAGTGCCTTTCAAATAAGAACAGAGACAGCTTGCTGTCAGTAAAATCAAGCAACATGACGTAGCTCGCAACCACACAGCTGAATTCTCTCCCCAAAGCGGAGGCTGCATCCAAAACTGGCTGCTCTAGGCATGTGTTACGCCCTGAACCATGTGCAAACATTGTCCAGGAGAGTGCTAGCTGGCATGAGCCAAAACGGTATCAGGGACCGTGCTAACAATTAAACATCACATATGACTGCAAGGCAGTACATCACTGTCTAATTTACAAGCACAGAAGCAGCCTCATATGCTGTCTCTAAAAATTATATTGGTTAGCTTGGTCAGTTTTGCAAGTGGATCAAAGAAAAGCCCCAACCAGGGCAGCTAGTACCAAGGAGAAAGAAACCCGCTACAAAACTGCTACTTCATTTTACACTGGCCCCAAGACTAGCAGCCCACCAACACTGGGCCTCCTAGACTGGTAGAATTACCTGTAGAAGGCAACCCTCTTTTAAAAAGCTTAAGGGATAGGAAAGCCATGACTAGAGAGGAGAAGGTGGCCAACACAGAAGATGATGTTCTACTACTTCCTCCTCTGTTGCAGCGTGGAGGAAGAGAACAGGCCAGGAGAAAGATCATCTGCATTACAATCATTCCAACCTTCCTTCTCCCTTTCACAGAGGGATGCAAATCAATTGGTTGCTACTCTCCTTCCAGAGATAATTTCCAGATGTGTGGGGTGGCATTCACTTTTGCTTAAAACTAGCTATTCAGGGAAAAAAACAAAATACAAAAAAATCTCAGTTGATGGAATTCGTGCTCAAATCACATGTAGCAATTTGAGGCTGTAATTTCACAAAATGAGTTGGCCTCACTGTTTAGTTCATTTATGTTTGACACTTAAACCTTTATAAAATTAAGGTCTAATTTGTTGTAATACAAAATTCCTTGTATGTTTAATTTCTTTCAAAACAATTCTATTACAAAAACAAAAGTCATTTTTCGTGAATTAATTTTCCAGTAAGAAATGGTCCTTTCTGTCTCAATTGAGCATGACAGCAGAGTGCTGCTAACAGTGCCAAAGCAAGCTAACACAGTGGCATATCAGCATATACGGCATCACGCCTGACAGCTGGTAATGCAAAGCATAAGGAGATCTTGATTTTCAGGGAGAAGACTAGAAAGAAACATAAAATCAGAAG